GGGATTTGATGTGACCGCAGAAAAGGTTGCTGTCCTATTGAGTTATTGCGATGCCGACACGTGTATGGTCAACAAGACAGCTGGAATTGGTCATATCGGATTCTTGGGCGAAAGTCTTGCCTAGCTGACGTGGATAGATTATTACGATGTTAAGTATTATAGTGGAAAAAAATCTTATACGAAAGGGAAAGAAGATCCGTCACGTAATTTATTTTGGGATAATGTTTGCTAAAATACCATGTAAGTATTTATCTTAAATTTAGTACAAATATTTTTATATAAAATATATTAAAAAATTTATGTAGATAATGATCTATTTATGATATAATGAAATTTTAATTTAGTATTTTTATTCTTTAAGTTTTATATATATTAAATAATCTAATTATATTTGACACTTAATTTTTTGATATTTTGTTTTTTAATGTTTAAATTTTAGTACTTCATTTTTTAATATTTACACTAACTCAATAGAATATTAGCATGTTATCTTTATTTAAGGGTATGGTACAACCACGAATCAAGTGACGTCGGTGATAAAATAATTGTTGTTATTCTTTAAGGTTCCGGTTCAAGCACCAAGAATGTCAAGAGTATGAGTGTTCAATATTAAATGGTGGAGAGTTATTTATGAACAGATAATGTCTTATACTTACCTAAGAGAAAGGATATAGTACAAAAAAATTAAAAATCATTACAGAGATTTAAACACATAATTAATAAACTAAAAAAACTCTTATCATTTTATTTTTGATAATTTTTTTATATTTTTAAGGAATTATTATGTATATTTTAAAATAATTTGATTATTTTGGTGTCAATTTGTTAAAATTAATATATAACATACTAATTATTTGATCAAATAGGAAAATACATAAAAACAAAGTATAAATGTATAACAAACTAATAATATTTTAACTTTTATGTCAATAAATACCTATCATTAATAATGTATTTATAGTTTCAAAATTTCAATTAAACTGTTCGTCCAATATAATTGTTTTTAGTAAATTTTATTGATTAAAAGAAGTTCTTATATTTAAGGCAATCTCCAGTCTTCATTTTTACTCTACATCTCTATCTTTACTCTAAAAATGAAACATTAATTCATTTTTAACACTATCTCTATCATCAACTCTACTTTATTCATAATATTTAACTATTATAATATTGATTTTGTAAATATAAAATAAAACATATACATTTCTAATAAATATCAAGATAAAAAACATAAATAAAACATTCAACGCATGTAACAATTAATATGTTTATTTATCTAATTTCAATATACTTTTATCTATCTTGTAAATTAATCTATTTGAATTAAAAAAATTAGAAAAAATACAAAAAATAAAAAAAAATTACAAAAAAATATCTAATTTCAATGTATTTTTATCTATCTTGTAATTTAATATATTTGAATTAAAAAAAACAAAATTATAGCGCATGCTACAGTGTCACGCCAGATATAGCGCAGCCTATAGCGATTCTCTAAAATGGAGATGATACTGTTCCAATACGATACGAAGAGTTGATACTGTAAATTACTCATGAAAAATTGACACGAATGCACTTGAATGATAATATTAATTAGAATTAATAAGGAATCAATTATTGGATATCTCACGTGACAAATTAAGATATTAATCCCACGTTTAAACGTTCGTGTCTAGTCATTGCCCCATTTAGTTCCGTGAAGGTGAAGCAACAGTTTAAATTCTTCACAAAGTATTGAAGTAAATAAAATAGCGTAAACTACACGAATGATTATTAAAGTTTAACTATTTTAAAATATTAATATATTCGAATAGGGTCGGGTTTAAGGTAAGAAATCACTGAGTCGATCTAATCCGGTATAAATTATTAGTTTACCTTTTTATATATATTCGAAATATTAAGGTAAAAATATATTATTTTTATAATTTAAATTATAATAAATAATTATAAATGCATTGTTTTAACTATTTTAAAATATTAATATATTCAAATCGGATCAATGCAGAGCAGGACTAGGTTTAAGATAAGAAATCATCGAATGATCTAACCTGGTATAAATTATTAGTTTATCTTTTTATATATATACTCGAATCTAGTCGGTATAATTAATTTTGTTTTCATTTTTTCTAACCTTCATTATAGTATAAGATAAATAGTGAACGTTGTAAACAACTATGCCAAAAACCAGTGCTGGTGCATTGGTTGTGGCTGTTGTTGTCCACCTCGAAGGGCCAATCATATTATTAGATGATTAAATATAATGAATTAATTTAAAATTATGACGAATTTGATAGATTGTATAAGTAATAAAAGACTAAATGTGTAATTATATAAATTTTATTAACTGCGACTTCAACACTTCTCTTAAATGTTAACGATAAGTAACTTGATTGAATGCATTTAAATAGTTAGGTAACATGATTGACAAAAAAATTTAAAAATGATGGTCAAAATAAAAAGAAACTATAGTTAGGTGGCCACTTATATAGTTTACCCAAAATTTATCACAAAGCATAAAAGTAAATAATAGTGCAAAATACACGAATGGTCATTAATGAATGAATAAATTTTTATTTTCCCATTGAACTTTAAAAAGTTAAAAACTGATCATTAATATTATTGATTTGTAGTAAAATGATCATTCGGCATTGTTACCGTAGATAATGAAAAACTGATGTGGTACGTTAACTGACTGATCTGACAACTAATATGCCACACGAGACTGCTCCTTTGACTTCTTGGTAACCTGCGTTTGAATTGATTTAGAGAGGGGGCTAGCTCTTGGGATTGTTGGTTCTTCTGCCATGGCACTGCCTGTTAGTAATACTGGTATATGGTACGGCGGTGGCTCCGACTTTGTCTCATCTTTCTTGTCTTCCTTTTTGTCACCGCCAGCATAAGTGACGCTTACTAGCTCCGCATGCCCCACGCTCTTCCTTAGCAGACTTGTTAGCTGGTTTTAACTAGTTTTTCGGTACCCGAGAGACCAAGAGAGCCCTTCTCTGTCATTAATGAATAAGCCAAGCTCGATATCTATTGTATTAAATAATAGGGGTGTTTATCGAGCGAGTCGATCACGAGTTAGGTAGTGTTCGACTTGTGCTCGTTAAAAAAATTTATTGTTCACCTTGACTCGTGCTCGTTAAGAAAATATGTTGCTCAACTCATTGCTCATTAACCTCGATGCTCATTGTTCACCTCGTTGTTCGTTAAATTCAACGAAATTTTTATCTTGTTTTCTTAACTACGATAAAATCTAATAATACAATGTAAAACTTAATATAAACATAAATTAATAAATTTAACCAAAAATTATCAAAAGAGTATATGAAGTAATTTTAAAATATAAACTCCAAAGTAACAATAAAAAAATATTAAAATAATAAATAATGTTTGATATTTGAGTGTATGAAATATTTTTTTAAGATAAATACTAAAAATTATATAAAAAAATTAATGAGCTGCTCAAGAACTTATCGAGTCGAGTTAGACTTTGCTCAACTCAACTCGTTAAGGTCTCGTGTCGAGTTCGAATTCAAGTCGAGTAAACTCGAATCGAGTTTTTACCTAATTTTGACCGAATCAAGTTTGAGTGGCTCAACTCATTAATCACACCTATCAGAAAATAATAATAATGGTAATAACTATGAAGAAGAAAATGATGATTAGAAAAGAATGTGCAACGCCACCACCACCACCAAGAAAGTAACTGATTGGAGAACCCTTGATAAGTTTGTTGCTTCACAACTGAGTCATGAAGATAGACATAACAATGGTGATCAACAAGGGGTTGTCTCGATCTCAAGCATTGATACTAATAATTGTAGCAACTCGGACATGACGTTACTGTTGTTGAAAAGTAGTAGAGAAGAAGTGAACAAGTTGGAGTTACTGAGTTCAAGTTCAGATTATGATATTGGAATATGCATATTTGATCTTTGAGAAATGAAAGGATCGAGATGAAAGAGAAACGAAGACGATGAAGAAAGCTTTTATCACTCAGTGTTAATCATAAATATTTGATGCATAACGAGACGTATTTTTGTAAAAAAGAAAAAAAATGGTTGTGAAATGAGTGAATAAATTTTCTCTAATGGAAACCAGTCATTTTACTCATCTTTAACTTGATTTTCTCGGCAACCAAACATAATACAAGCTAAGAAAAACGTAGAATGAGCGGCTGGTCGTAACTGGGTGTGGGCCTAGTACGAGTAAATTAAAAGTGACCATTCATGTATTTTACCCTAAATAATATTAAAAGCGATTCTTTTTACTTTGTCAAAATTGAAATCTACAGGTAAATTACATTACATTTTATCGTTTAAATTTATTTAATTTTCTCCATCATCTTCTTCCATTCCTTTGGCCTTAATATGAGTTATAACTAATGCGATGGATGAACAGTGATGTTAGAATGGGTACGTCCACCCTAAAATTTTATCATATCAACATAGATATAAAAGTTTTAAATTATTAATATATATGTGCACAACCTAAAAAAAATTCTGAAGTCGCCGCTGAGCTAATATGTGTGACAAAGTATGGTTCGTTAAGTTCTAAAAGATTTATTGAGAAATGAACGAAATAATTGATCATTTGATTAAGATGAACTTTGATTAAGATGAACTTTAGTTCAGATGGATCACTTATTATCTTATATTCATTTTAGATTATTTTCTTAGATTGTGACATTCGAAGCCTTCTTACACTCTAGTAAAGTTTTAATGTAATGATTTCGGCCTCATTTTCAGTATCCATGTATTGGAAAGAACTTGGAACAAATGTCACTTGTGTTGCATTTTCATCATATTCCTAATTGAAGGATCAAAAGATAACTTTATTAATAATTAAATGACCGTGGTGTAATTTACCCCAAAATTAACGCAACATAACGACCCGAACTCTATGGACTATGGTTAAGTTCTTTCCCCCGGTTCGGGTGCATCGGTCGGTGCTTTCGAATTGCCTTTGCATTTCCCTGCTAGAGCACCCGAAATTCTTCGTTTTTCGATTTCACCCATCAGTATAGCCTTCTCGGATTGATCGTTGTATATTATTAAGAATTTTGTATTGATCTCGATCTAGATCTCGACCTTCGATTTCTTCTCCTAATTGAGCTCGATCTGGAATATTACGGTGTCAGATCCCTCCGGTTCGAAGTAAGAATCTTCGCCTATATCTCTGTTTTTTGTTTAATTGCAAAGATAATTGATGGAATTGAGCTTTTTTTTTAATCTTTTTCATTTTCCTACTTTTCCCTCGAGGAATCAGGTATTGTATTAGGAACATTAGTTTTTCCCTTTTAAAAGATCGTGGAGGTTGATAAAAAAATGCCTGTAAAGCCGGCACAGTCGTCATTTAGGGATCGGACGCAAGAATTTCTGAGCGTAGCGGAGAGGTTAAAGAAGTCGATCACGTCTGGACCGAACCAAAATGGGCCGAGTAGTAGTAGGTCGAGAGCGGAGGACAAGAGATCTGTGGTTGCGCATCAATTGGAGTTTAATAGGAGGGCTTCTAAGGTTGGATTGGGGATTCATCAGACTTCGCAGAAGCTTTCTAAGTTAGCTAAATGTAAGTGTTTATACTTTATACCTGCTTCATTTACATTTAGAATTTTGTCCCCCCCCCCCCCAAAGGATTTGCATGGTATAGTTCTTAAAAAGATGAAGGTAAGCCAGGCACGGTTTATTTGAAACCTGAAATTTAGCTTCTCGGGTGTGTAGCTTAGAAATTTATGAGCTCCTGAGAGGAGTGATAGATTCAATGGGCTTATGGGATGTGCAAAAATGAACTTCGATGCTTGAAACATTTCCATCAAACAATGTTTTGGAATAATGTACTTGATCATTAGTGTTGAATTAACCCATGAGAGTTTAAGCAGCGAGTCGGCAAACTCCAATCTTGGTTGTCTTGGTTTATATGGTACCACTGTTGTAGCTGAGCTTGATGAAATTCCAATGTGCACATCTTTCAATGACGGATATCGAAGAAGACAAACAGACTAGATATTGATACGAGTTTATTGTTGCCGTTTTTCTTACCATAGTTACTATGATCCCAGATGTTTTCCATTATCATAAAGAATCCCACTTACTTTGCAGTGGCCAAGAGGACTTCAGTTTTTGATGACCCTACTATGGAAATCCAAGAGCTCACTGCTGTTATAAAGCAGGATATCACTGCCCTTAATTCTGCTGTGGTAGACCTTCAGCTTTTCTGCAATTCTGGAAACGAAGGTGGTGTCTCCAGTGACACATCTAGTCATTCAACCACAGTTGTAGATGACTTGAAGAATCGCTTGATGAGCGCCACAAAAGAGTTTAAAGATGTCCTCACTATGCGAACAGAGGTAAGGCTGAGTTTTTCAGTTTGTTTGCTTACTGAGTTTAATTTGATCTGTTTTACTATTTCTTGTAGTAATTTCATTTAGAAATTATTCCCATGACAATCAACGGCAATTGAATTTCCTTTTTCAGAATTTAAAGGTTCATGAGAATAGAAGACAGTTATTTTCTTCCACTGCTTCAAAGGATTCTCCAAATCCTTTTGTACGGCAGCGCCCCCTGGCTGCCAAATCTGCAGCCGGAGCTTCAAACAACCTTCCACAATGGGCTAATGGATCTGCATCTTCATCTCAGTTGTTTCCAAGGTAACAACTGATTCTAATATTTTGCTCTTAACCTCATTAACCGCAGAAAATAATGGAGCACTTATTTTTCATAACTTCCTAGTCCATTGTATGATAACTTGTTGTTTGATACTCATGGAACAATTCTTAAAATTTCCTCTTGTGCAGTTTTAGCAGTTTATGATTAGTGCATATTGCCTTCTTTTGTGCCACAACTGTATTTTCTTGTTTGCTTTTTATGCAGTACCATGTACTTGTGGTGGTTCATGCTGCGCATTTGCTTTTATTCTTCATACTTTTTTTTCCTTTTAAATATTTGTTTCTCTTTCCATCTTTTTGGAATCAACTACTGTTGACTATTTTTGTTTTAATCTAATTGGGTTGAACTTCTTATTTGAACCATATCCACTTGAAATTCTGCATGACAGTGAAACTTCAATTTTGGTTTTTAATTGAATAGAAAGCATGATAGGGAGAGTCAGCCATTGCTTCAGGAGCAGCAACAGCAGCAACAACAAATGGTTCCATTGCAAGACAGCTACATGCAGAGCAGAGCTGAAGCTCTTCAAAATGTAGAATCCACTATTCATGAGCTAGGCACCATATTCAACCAGCTAGCCACTCTGGTTTCTCAGCAAGGAGAGATAGCTATCAGGTTTTCTATTGAAGGAGAGCTTTGTTTTTCATATATATATGAATTTATTTATTTTTGCTAATAGCTGAGTTTCACATAATTGCATGGTTGCACTAGAAAAATGATTGAATTCAATAATCAACAAAAAATTATGGTGGCTTCGTCATGGCATTTAAAATTATGTGGAATTAATAATGTAATTGTTACCAACTACTAGTTGGTATGAAGTGCTAAGTCCTTTGAACAACCTCCAATGTTTGAATCCCGACGTTGTGAATGAAGCAAACTGTTTGGGAGGGGACGCCCCCGTAATGAGTCTGTAATATCTGCTCCGGATTACTCAATCAATGGATCAGATACCGGTGTTTATACAAAAAAAAATGTGACTATTGTTCTTTTTCTGATTGAGTGCTTGGGAGTATTTGAGAATTCATTTGTTGTGTTTCTTGCATTTGGTGGTGACTGTCAAAAGTTACAGAGAATTTCCACCAATGCAAAACAATTTTACCTGTATGAAGAATATGGCAGTATAAGTTTATATTGCCGTCTAGGTCTTTTGACTGAGCTATGAACCACCACTGATTGAACTGATTTTTTTTACAGGATTGATGAGAACATGGATGACACCTTAGCAAATGTGGAGGGAGCGCAGGGAGCATTGCTCAAGTACCTAAACAGCATATCGTCTAACAGGTGGCTGATGATCAAGATATTTTTTGTTTTGATTCTATTCCTTATGTTTTTCCTGTTCTTTGTGGCATAGTTAATAAAGTGACATAGCCAAGTTTGAACCCAAGAAAACCAGACTTAGCCGGGATAACTGAAAATGATGATGCCTTTTCTTGATTGCTCTATTCTTTTCATATATACCATCCTCTTTCTTTTTGCTTTAATCCACTATCCGGTCCTGCTGAGTTATGATTGGATCCATTTTGATTACTGTGATGTGTACGTACATACCATATACTGTACAAGTAGGTGTTAGTGTTCGATCGAGTCGAGTCAAAAAATTTTGAGTTATTCGAGTTGACGAGTCTTATTTTACAACTCGAACTTGATTTGAAATTTTTTCGAGTTTCTATTTAAATTTAATTGTAAATATTTATAATATTATAGTATTATTTGATTCCAATTTAAGTGACTTTTTATAATCATATATACAATGCAAATATATTTTTTCATATTATTTTTCATACGTGATATACATATATCATACAAAGTCCAAGGACTCGACTCAAACTTGAAAATAAACCCACTAATTACTAAAAATTTTGAGTTATTCAAGTTGTATTTTACAACTCGATTTGAACTTGAATTTTTTTCGAGTCGAGCTGAGTTTATGAAATTGTAATTCGAAGTCAATTTGACTCGAATCTAGTCAAAAAATTTAATTTTTCGAGTCGACTTAAGTTTTACTCACCTCCATATACAAGTTTGTGTAAATTGTACAAGGTATTTTAAAACAACGAGAATGACAGAAACATAGACTATTGTTATTATTAGTAGTAGTATTTTGGGTGTTATTTGACGGAATATCTCCTAATGCGCCAACTAAACCAATTATGAAGGCACAAGTCAAGCAACTTTGGTGGCGAGGAATTGTTCATGAACGAGGAATTGTTCATGAATTTGATTACTATGAATGTCAAGTAGAGATGCACATAGTTGAATTTAAATCCAATTCGGATCCGATAAAAATTGATTCAGTTTTTTCACTAAGTCAAAAAATCGATTTATAAAAAAATCAGTTCGGATCATAACCGGTTTGAAGGGACGGATGATGTAATCAATGTAACCGGTTTTTAATCTGATAAAAAATCCGGTCATCCAATTTTTTAAATCCCAGACCGGATTTTTTTCCGGATAAAAAATCAATTTTTATCTGGTAAAAAATCCGATCGTCCAATTTTTTCCCAAACCGGTTATACTATCCGGTTTTAAAATATCCGATCCGGTTTAAAAAAACCAATTTTTCCCAAATCCGGTTTCGGATATTTTTTACACAAAATCGGATATTCAAATTTTTTGTGCACCTCTAATGTCAAGGATGCAAATGTTCAATGGTAAAAAGTTACTTATGAATAAATACCTAAACTATCAGTTTTGATCCGTTTTAATACATAAACTTTCAAAAAAAAATTAACATTAAATTTAGAACAAAAGTACTAAAATGAAACAAAATTTGAACTTTAAATATGATTTTGAAAAAATCGATAGTTTAACTACGAAACATATAATCTACCCTAAAATTTATTTAGAAAAAAAAAATCAGATACAAATCGGAAAAAATGTGTAAACTGCAAAAGTAGGTGAGAAATCAAAGGCTGTAAGTTAAAAATTGAAATTCATTTTCACAGCTTTGAAGCCCCCTTTACAAAGCCTAAAGTTCTTGCAAATTCTGCAATTATATAATATCCGCGTGGGTAGTTACATGGTAGTAAACCAATTCAATTTAACGACAGTAAGAAATCATACACGTTCAATGCCAATGTGGTGGGTACACAGTAATAATTTAGGAACGGTGACAGTAGAACTGCCGTGTTTTGTGCCAGTCTTGCGAGTCACAATCAAGTGAGTCTAACAAGCTCAGTCTCACCCCGTAAGACAACCATAAAGAATGGAAGGGACGACCATCCAACACATAAGAAGAAAGACCATCAAACTGTATGCAGCTGGCACGTTCAAATACCAAATTTCAAGGCATCAATATACACATATTATACTACTACTACTTCATATGTATTTTTTTTTAATTTCTACGTATTACATTACTAAATTCTTTAAAACACAGAGCTTCTATAATTGTTGCCCACCATTGTCTCACCTCGTTGATGGTTATCATGTGTTCCGGAGAGTGAACTCAAGATGCTGGTTGCAGTTGTCCCCGACATCGAGTCCAATATGTTCTCCCCAACCTCGCTCTTGCAAAGAGGACACGATGCATTGATCTTAAGCCATTTGTCCACGCATTCCTTGTGCATGAAGTGAGAACATGGCAGCTCCCTCAGCTCATTGTTATTTACGTATTTTGCCAAACAAATGCAGCACACCTATTCAAAATCCGAGTAGTGCCAATAGTATTAGTAAGTACGAGACATGTTCTGAATGATCAAAACAATAATGAAATGAATCACTCACTGCGTCTTCTCCAGAGATGACACGTTCCTTTTCTGTTCCAGCAGCCACGATGCCACCCTCACTGGCACCCGAGTTGATTTCCTTACCATCACTGTTTCTACTTTTCTTCACCTTAAACTTGTAAGTAGGCAAAGCCTCTATGGATTCAGGCGTCGCTCCTCTGGCTTGTGATAGATCCTCTCTAAATCCAAGGACAGAAATAATACAAGGCAGGCAACAACAGATACTAGCGCATAGAATAAAAGGTATTGCATATCCCATACAACTAATCGTAAGAAAAACTATACACAACCTGGAAACAAAAAAGACAAAAAATATGAGTTCTCCAGAGAAGTACAAATCAAAGTTAAATGCAGGATATGCCAACCAGCAGGCAGCAATGATCATCACTACCTGTACATGTTAGGAGCCTCACTGGGAGATGAATGCCCACCAAAGATCCAGACATTTCCAACCACAAACCAAACAGCAAAGAAGCAATCTAGAATCATTTTGAAGTATTCTACTAGCGTTTTAATTCTGCAGTACAAAAAAAATGCTGATTGAAAATTGAAGGTGATTATTTCTACACATGAAATTCATGTCAGATGATAGGTTCATTATCTTCTACGTATGAGGGGGAACATCGTAGTTGAGCTTTACTAAATCTCACAATGTTGAGTGTATCTTGGATGCATAAATATAACAAGGGTTGCTCTAACTATTGCTCATTGGCTTTAGGTTGGATGCTCATCTTAAAACTTAACAAATATAACACACATAACTTACATGAGTGTATTATTCTCTGCTTATCACCCGAACATCGTAGTTGAGATTTACTAAATCTCACAATGTTTAGTGTATCTTGGATGCATAAATATAACAATGGTTGCTCTAACTATTACTCATTGGCTTTAGGTTGGATGCTCATCTTAAAACTTAACAAATATAACACACATAACTTACATGAGTGTATTATTCTCTGCTTATCACCAGAACATCGTAGTTGAGATTTACTAAATCTCACAATGTTGAGTGTATCTTGGATGCATAAATATAACAAGGGTTGCTCTAACTATTGCTCATTGACTTTAGGTTGGATGCTCATTGTAAAACTAAACAAATATAACACACATAACTTACATGAGTGTATTATTCTCTGCTTATCACCCCTCATTTCGAAATAAGAAAAACTATACCTGGCATTTATCACTCCCATGTTTTGGCCACCCCTAGGAGATGTAGTTGCATTACGATGATCACCCCCATCAGAAGTCCTTGTGACAGAGAGCGAAAAGGATCTGGCAGGGGCATTATTGTGTGCAGAATGATGATTTTGAGCAGTGTCTTGCTCAGAAGCCTGGTTACGATGACGATAACGCCAATAAAGAAGAGGGAGGGTTGCTACACATCCAGATGAATAACCCACAATCCATGCAAACAGAGGCGTACGAGGATGCTCATCTTGTGACAAAGACAAGACAACCATAGATGCTACAATCTGACTCACTGTAAGAACCAGTTCAACAGAAATCCACAAAACAGAATTTAATGGACTCCTCCTCCTACGGGAATCTCCTCTCCTTACAGCAGATGAGGTTCTTGAGTTAGTACCACTGGGAGAAAATGTTGAAGGTTGAGAAGGTTGTGAAAACAGCGCTCTTGCACTAGTAGAAGGTCTGTCTGGATGCTGCAAAACATCCAGCCCATTCGAAGTTGTTTCAGAAGATAAGTTTGATGAAGAAGCATCGCCACTCCTTGGCATGTCAATAACATGTCCACTAAAGTCACTTGGTTGCTCCATTAACAATGGACAAGTGTCGCCTTGATTTTCAGACTGAAGCCCCAAAGAGGGAACACCCATCTAAGTTCAACACAACCGGAAATGGTGAATGCATGGAAGCCTAAAACAAGGCTACTGGCTTTATGTACCACTTCTTAACTCTGCTGAAACAACGGGCACCTTTTTCCCTGGGATTTTTCAAGTTCTGATGATTGACTTAAACTATTCCTGTAAAATAGAGAATGAAAATTCAACCATGTCAGAGTAATGTTATCGACCTTTCCTCTCCCTTGAGAAGGTAAACGAGAAAGCGGTTATGGACCGTCGCAGCTGAGAAGTGACCGGAGATGATGAAAACGGCGTCGTTCGATGAGTGAACGGACGCTAGCTTTAAGCTGAAGGGACTTTGATTGTTGGGTATTTCTTTATTGAGGTGAGGGATGCTTATATTTATGTCGTGATGTTATGTATGGACTGGATTTGGACCCTCAATTGCAATTGCATGGATTATCCACTGAAATAGAAATTAAGAAATTTCATACAGTTTTGGATCTCTCTCCTCAAGCTGTCCGGTGGCCGAGGGTTCTTACCATTGGGTTATCCCTAATTTGCCGCCTATATTCATTTGTTTTTCGTTGTTGGATCATTGCATGTTTCCATAGGACTCGAGATGTAAACACAAGTCAACCTACTGGGAAGATAATTTCGAAAACAAAATAATTAAATATCAGGTAATAAATTTAACGATCGATTATATCTTTTATTATTTAATCATAAAATTTTTAAATGTGAATTATAATTATCTACTTACGTTTGAGTTTTAGAGACTTTTCCACACGTATTCAAAAATACATAATATTTAATCATTTTTATTTTATTTTAATTAAGATACGATTACCGAAGTTAACAATTTACTTACGTGACTCAGTAAATATACAAAATTAAAATTACATCATTTTCACTTAAATAATACATTGACTAAATTTTAGCCATTTTCCTTTTATATTTATATACTTATGTTCACCAAATTAAAAAAAAACACATCTTTTGATCACTTGTGTTATTATTTTATTGAGTTCCGGTCACTTACGCTATCGTTTTATTAGTTTTTTGTCACCCGAACATTAAATGCCGTTAATCGGATGACGTGACCCATAAGTAAAATGATTTAATTTTTAATTGAGCACCTAAATTTTAGACAAAAACTGATTATGTCTTTTTATAAATTCAGAATATTTAAGTGACAACATTTCAATTTATCCATTTTTTTAAATATTTTTTTCTTCCCAATCCTCAATTTTGCTCATCTTCTCCCCGCTTCTTCAAGCATCTCTACTCCATTGCTCTATTTTTCTTCTTTCAAGGACTCATGCCGCATTTTAAAATAATGCAAGATTTCCAGACTTTGATAACACCGCCAGTAATGCCAATTCATGGGAATAATGTTGACGTAAAATTTAGTGAGATGGATGCACCGCCAGCTTGGATATCATCAGCTGGATGTGGAAAGCAATAGAACACTGCGTACGCCAGAAAAAAAAAATTGGCTTTTGATCAAACATGGTTTGATCTCCGGCTGACTATTCCCAAAGCGAATCACTTAATCGGTCCGTTTAGACACCAAACGGGTATATGTTGCACTGATATAGATATGGATACAGGGACGAAAAACAATAATTTTTAAAATTAGTTTGTATTATTATTGCATACAAGATGACAACTTTAAGTTAGGATATGATTGTTTTTAGGGTAATGTACACAAATGATGTAGACTATAGTGTATTGTTTTATTAAGTCTCTCGACTATAAAGTGTTGATTTCTTGAGTCATTTGACTATCAAAATTTACAAAATGGTTCTCCATTGTTAAGTTCATTTTGTAACTTTTAGTAAGCGACAGACTTAATAAAACAATACCCTATAATCAGGAGATTATTCGTGTAAGTTACCCTTATTTTTAATGCCAGATTACTTTAATTAAAATCGAATGCACAACTCATATGATCCAACATATTTAAAATGAAAAAAGTGCAAACACCAAATTAATTGATAATCGAATAAAATAAGCATTACTCTAATAAGTCTAATTTATTTTTACTCCAAACTTCATATTTTTAATTGGGGATTTAAGAAATGGATGAGTTGAGATTGATACCATAAAGGTCTTAATGGAGGGTTAAAATTTTTTGTAAATGGAAATTCAAAGCAAGCATGGCATTAATGTGCAATACTTTAATTGCATTAATCAAAGTTTTGTATAATTTATTTTTACTCCAAACTTCATATTTTTAATTGGGGATTTAAGAAATGGATGAGTTGAGATTGATACCATAAAGGTCTTAATGGAGGGTTAAAATTTTTGTAAATGGAAATTCAAAGCAAGCATGGCATTTAATGTGTGCAATACTTTAATTGCATTAATCAAAGTTTTTGTATGGCATTGTTTCAGAATTTATGTGTAATCTTGGGAGGGATAACACTTTCTTACAGGTATGAACATAGTGAAATAAAAGTAGTACAAGAAAATGACGACTAAAATATGAAACAAGCCTCGGTATTTTTCAACTAAGTGGGCCTGGTACTGGCATTGCCCTAATTCATACAGAAGTTTTCTTCTCACCAATGCTACCCTTTTCTGCACCTCTTTCTCCACCACTTTCCGAGTCGTGTCGTCAACTGTTGCCAACGACGGTGATGATGCTCTCAGCCTTCTCTCTTGTTTTCTCTTCCATTCTTGGAGTTCCATCACCTATAGAATTGTTTTAATTTACGTCATACATGCATGCATACAAGAACGCAGCTTTAATGTATAGTTTACCTGCTGCTTGGCATTTAATGCCTCTTTGCAAGCTGCATGGTACATGTCCATCGTGTGCTTCAGCTCTATCTTTAACCTTCTTGTTTCATCATTGTCTTCTTCCATTCTCTTTTTAAAACAAAGAAACCCAGAATTGATCATGTTTATTTATTACATTAAAGGCATGGGAATTGAATAAATGAACTTACTGGAGATTCTGCAGAAGATGATGAATCATCATCCAACAAGAACGAGTAGTCAGTGAGAGTGCCGGCACTAGAATGACGCTTTCGGCCAATGGAAGGAACGACTGCGCTGCCTGGCGGCGGTGGCCCGACATTTGACAACCGGCACGGGTCGAGCACGACGGGTGATCTCAAAGAATGTCCGACGCTCCCATTTAAGGAAACGGAAGAGATAAGGGAGCCTTCCGTTGAGGATGAGTTCATCATGTCAAGTGATATATCTTCATCATATAATCCCTCGTTCTCCCTGAATCAGAGTGATCTTTTTTTAAGGATTACACTACATTCATAATATATATATAACACGAGATGATGGGCATAATCATTGGTAGCTTACGTGTCTGAGGTTGCCAAATCATTCCAACTTTGAGTTCTTCTGGGGACTGAACGAGTAGCAGTTCGTGCAGCAGCAACCTTTCTTCTTGAAATTACATAAACATTGCAAAAATTTGGTGCCAATTTTAGTATGATAGATGGAACATTTGTTCCCTTGAATAACCTGCAAGTATATAACCCAAAATTTATTCATACATACATACATACATGCATACATTCATACAAACATACATACATTCAGTCATACATACATACACACACACAATTTAAAAATAGAGGGAAAACATGCATTAGTTATTGGGGTGCTGGGTACCTGGAAATTCCAGTCTTTGATGCTGCACCAACAAACAAAGTTTCAATTTCATATTGGTGAATATATCCGATAAGTGCTTTTGCAACATCTGAATCCTCTAGTACAACTGTTTCACACTGTATCTGTATGCATTGAAAATTGGTCAAATGCTGGTTCTGGATTTAGTCATTGTATTAGATCGAGTTCGATTTTGTTTGAGATTATGAAATCATATTTTATTATCAATTTTTTTTTAAAAAAAGGATGAGTTTAAAATATAATAAATAATCGGATGACCCTTTTTAACTTTTAATAGTCGAACTCATCAGGATTATTTTGTAACTTTTAAGGGTCGAGGCAGTTAATTAATCAATACTCTATAATCGCGAGATCATATGTGTACTTTATCCTATTTGAATTCTTTTAATATCGTCCTTGATCCAAACAGGCTTAACACTCACATGTTTACGGGCGCATAAGCTTCGAAGTCGAAGTAAGAAGTCCATGTTCTGATTATCAACTTGTCGATCACCACCAACGCCACCGTCATCTGATGAAGGAACCGATTGATTCAATTACTATTTGAGATTACAAATTAACCCAAAAAAGAAAACCCTAATCAAGGCGATACATACCTGGACTAACGGGGCAGATTGGTTTCTGAAGAACATGAACGAGCCTCAAGGTTTGGCCTCTGATGAGGACATTATCAATAGCCCAGTGGAGAGCTTGCAGACTGTATTTGTCCTTGTCGACCGCAACGGCCACTGATCGATCTGATCTTCTTTCCCCTCTTTCTCCTCGTGCTGAATGAGTTCTACTCATATTTCTTCATTAAAATCTTGGGGACCTATTTGATTTTCTAGGTTTCTCTCATGGGTGGAGACGAGAAGCAAGGAAGCAAGGAAAATTGCTTGGTCTCTGATTAAACCCTCCCAATGATGAATCAAGCTGTGGCGGACGATGAATTTGAAACCGGGGGAACCCATTCCACGTCTTTTTTTGGTTTCCCTCTTGCATGCGCATAATCGAAGCACTAATTAAAGCCATTAAAGTCGCTCCATTCTTTTGTTAGGGAAAAGCACCATCATTTTCGCTACTTTTTTTATGAACCAATATTAGACCATATCAACTACGATTATATACCTCAACCCAATCATTATTCTATAAAAACAATAGGGTAAACTATGCATTTAATATCTAAACTATTAATTTTAATCTAATTTAGTACTTAAACTTTTAATTTTTTCAAAATCATGGCTAACGTTTAGTTTTTATTTTATTTTAGTGCTCAGGCATTAAAAACTTAACACATTTAGTACCTAAACTTTCAATTTTTTCAAAACTTAATGTTAAATTTTGAACGGATACTGAAATAAAACAAAAATCAAACTTTAGGTATGATTTTGAAAAAATTAAAAGTTCAGATAGTAAAATTGACTAAAACTAATAATTTAAGTACTAAATACATAATTTACCCTAAATTCTTATATGTCTTAAATATTTAATGATTTATGATACGTGGTATTTATTTTGTGATTCTATGTCAATTTCATTAATGTGTGTTTAATATTTTATACGATGTTTTTTTAATGGATATCATTGTTTTATGTCAAATGATTGAGAACGTTGTGTTAATCTTAAGAATGATATTCATTTTACGATTATATCAATTAAAATAAAATTGATCATAAGACAATAAATTTTACCATAAAATAATAAACCTATTTTATTTATACAATTTATTGTTTGCCAATCATGGTTAGTATTATTGTTTTGCACCATGATTATTTCCAACAAAATTTATGTTCTTTTAAGCATACAAAGTCGACAAAACTAGAATGAAATAATGAGAGGATCAAACTACTTAACTTTAAAATTAATAAAATTTTAAAAGATAATTTAACTATAAAAGTAGAGGGTTGGTGCTCAATTTCATTATTTTCAATTAAACTATGAATATTACTTTTGAAATCTACCATAGGGACAACTTAGGGTTCATGCAATGTTTGCAGGTTTCAATGATGTACAACACCCATCTTTTTCTTCACAAATTTCCTTCACCGCTGTTATTTATTTACATGGAAACATTCTTCCAAGGAACACACGACTGCTTCAATTACCAGGATTTGGCAAGAACAACACGGTTGAGGTATTCTCCCAGTGCCCATATGGGAAATATGTTTCTGTAGGATGAATAACTGATGATGCAGTTCTTATTGAACACTCCAATAATCTCCTACAAAGGTACCAGGTTTATCATTAGAAGAATACATGCACTTGTTTTTGCCATGATTAAGAACAAAAAATATTTTTTCTGTACCTGATAGTACGTACCTGTTGTGGGAAATCTCCATTTTCCAACTGAGAATCGAGCAACACTTTGGCAGCACGGTGCAATGGCATCGGATCTCTATCTGCTTGTCCACTTTCAATCAAAGCTAGTATTGCCCATGCAGTTGTCACCAGATGCGACTTGTTTCCTTCCAGGTTAGTGTACACCTGTGTCGAATGAAATGCATAATTCGTATCCATGAACTTCAGGACGGATCTAGGATCAAATGTCGGGAGGGACGAGGTACTTAATTTATAATAAGTACTTATCATGTGTTTAATCTAAAAATTTGGGGTTTACTCTCTCCCACTCCCCATATAGCTCCATCTAGCTCCGTCCCTGATGAACATTACTAGAGCTGTGTGACTCAAATTATTTTTTATCAGATTCAAGATAGATAAAAAGAAATTCTTTAGATTTCTTCCTATGAAATCTATGTTCGTGGTTTTTCAGGGTTTTTTTTGTTCGTGGTTTTTCTTTAGAAGCCGATTAAGAGCTGTGTACTCTTTTGTTCGTGTTTTTTTTCAAAAGAGTTTTTTTCAGGTTATTACAAATAATTATTGAATCTGTGTTGAGTAAAAAAGAATAGAATTAACGATTGAATGTATTTTGTAGTAATATTTCATAACAATACCTTATTTTGGCTGGAGAGGTAGCTTTCACCCCACCCACCAGACTGGAGTTGCTTGGACAGCAAGAAATCGCATGCTCTTCTGATACTATCGCAGCCGTGGTAAGACCGTCCGCTGGCGACCAGACCCTTTATCCCGAACCATGTTCCGTACACGAAACACACTCCCCACGACCCGTACCACGAGCCATCGGGTCGTTGTATGCTCCGAATGAAGTTGATTGCTTTGCTAATGCAAGCTTCTATTTCTTTGTTTTTGTAACTCGGATGCAGCTTTTGGAATGCTTTGAGGCCTTGTATTGCTGCTGAAGTGCATTCTACGTACCTGAATTTTCTAATTTTCAGTGATTAAAGTAAGGTACAATGGCAGCCGAATTTTGTTGTGATTATTAGCAAGAAAAACGTGAGAGAAAGACGTGTTTTTGGATCATACTGATAATCAATCATAATATCACTGAACAATTCAGCTGGATTGAACATCTGCAAGAGATTACAACCCAAAAAGAGTTAAGAAATCTCAAAGAAAATCAATTCTTCTTGGCAAAAAGGCATAAGATGTCCTTAAACTTTTGGGAGAAAAAACCCAAGGTGGCTCTTGTATTTTTTTTTTCTCTCAATGTGGCCATCCAACTCATAAAACAAACTCAATGTAGCCATTTGACCAATATTTTCCATCGTTGACCATTATGATATTGACGTGACAGTCCATAATGTTAATGTGGCAGTGAGTTATCAATTTAGCCCATTTGTCATGTCATCCGTCACATTATCAATCACCGTGGACTGTCACGTCAACACTGTGAACTGCCACGTTAGCACCATAATGGACGAAAAATATTGGTCAAATGACCATATTGGGTTTATATTTTAAGTTGGAGGGCTACATTGAACTAAAAATAATACGAGAGACGTTGGTTTTTTAATTACAGGGACCTCTTGCCTTTTTGCCATTTTTTCTTCATTATCTAAATGGATGAAACAATGCTTACTTCCAACCATGCATAAGATCTCGTGAGCTCATATGAGGCAAAACCACCATTTTTATTCTGCAAATTATAACAAACAAGTAAAATGCCAAAATCCAATATACTGGCAGATATTTTATACATGTTACCTGTAAAGACAAAATGACGTTAACGGCTTCATGTAATCGATCTGGAACTATAATCTCTTCACCTACTATGTCACATGGCATCGTTGATAACATAAGTGCTGCCTGATATTCACAAGTTTTTATTAATTTCTCCTAAATCAATCATATCATTAACAAATAAAATCATATTTACCTTCAATCCTTCGGCAGTGCAGTCAGAGACGATCCAACCATTATCTGCGGTTGAGAAAGGCCATCCTCCCTTCGAAATGTGGCGATACCATAAACTAAGGCTTTTCCCACTGTTTTCTTTCACCTTCAGAAAACCAATCCAAGAGCAAGACAACATTCAGTTCTGATTCTTAATCATAAGAAGAAGAAGAAAGAAAGAATTTAGATGTTGTTAATGTGCCCGTACCTGTGTGTTTCTGATGAAGGAGTGAGCTTTCTTAAGCATTGAGCCATATTCGTCCACCAGGTCGGTTGCCAAGATTGCTTGAACCGAGAAAGCAACGTCCCATAGTTGAGATCCATTGTATCCCTACACAAGTCACAGGCAGAGTGTTTCTTCATCTGTTAAACCCTATATATTTATATCAATGAAGCTGTCTCTATATAAACCTGCATTTTCATGCCATCTTCTGCAACCCAGAGGTAATCTTTAACTCTTGAAAGGTGACACTTGTATGACTCGGAGTTTGGGTCCTCCACCCAACAACAAACCATGTTCAGGACCTGCAGTCCACGTGTATATATTATTAAAAATTTAATGTTGGTTTTTAACAAAAGGCCAATTCGGAACAAGCACATGGTTAAGGGTCGGATTGGATTAGATTTTTCATCCATTTGAATTCAACTCAAAATGTGAACACCCCACTCACACTCCATTTGAATCCACCTACATATATAAGGGATAATAATAACATTATATCTGATCTGATCGAAATCCGTCGGATTCGGGTCAAATAGGAGCAAGTGGCTTACCTTACTCACAGGGCCAATGCAAAGATAATTGGTACTCTTATCCTCATAGTGAATGTGTTGCATCACAACATCAAGAGCCTTTTTCCTTAGCTTAGAGAATGGCCATTTCTTTAAAGCAGGCTCTACTACTTTCTCAAGACATTCCCATAATACATCTTGTATGATAGGATGTGGATAATATAGGTCTTCCTGCAAATATATATTGTAATGAAGCAAAAAGTAACTAATAGGTAAAAAAAAAATATAAGGATAAATTAAAAGTTTAGTCACTCAACTTTTTTCTTACTTTTATATGATTCGTTAAACTTCAAAAAAATTCAATTTACTCACCGAAATAGGAGCAAAACGCAAAATTAAGCAGTTACCTTAGCACAAAGATAACGGGCTTCGTTCCAATCAACGAGGTGATAAGGAATCAGATAGAGTTCTCGACGGAGAGACAAAACAAGGGAAGTGATGGGCCCCACAAACTTGTTGGCATACAAAAACGACATCGGCAGGTACACCATCCGGCTGTGACACCACAGCCGTCCTGGGTGCATGGGATTCAGACAGTAAGGGAGAAGCCATAGTTCCGGGAGCAGTGGATTGTTCCCACCCCACTCGTATATTCCCAGCACCTCAGAGACAATTATTTAAACACCTTATCAGCACGATTTATTTATATAGAAGGAGATGAACTATACATTATTATAAAAACATGCATATACGTACTGAAAGCCACATCTTGCCCCAAGAAGGAATAAAGGTGGCGCCACCGTGGTGGAGAATCCAATTCCTTGCCTTCTCCATCGCACCATCGCCGTCGTCCTTTGCTTCTCCAAGCAGTCTGAGGGTGACGTAGGAGAGTGCTGTTCCGAACATTGTGCTCTCCCCTTCTATGTGTATTCCCCATCCTCCGTCTTCGTTCTGTTCCGAGACGGAATCAGATTAGACGATGGAAAGATCAAGTTGTCTAATTTCAAAGTTTATAAAAAAATCTCAATTTAAGAAACAAAAACTTAATATGACATACATTCAAATTAACAAGGACCAAAATTATCATTAAACAGAACTTTAGAAACATAGTCCCTCCCATCACCTATGTTTAGAGAGGTTAAATTGGGTCGGGTTTTTGACTCACTCGACTCAACCCAAAAAATATACTTGATCAATTTGATCTTATTCGGATCTAAAAGTATCACCTTTGATTGTTGATTAAATTCATTAAATTAAATATATATAATCAAACTTATAAAATGTATAAGTAATTATTAAATTAAACATATATGATCAAACTGATAAAATGTGTAAGTAATGAAGATTAAATGCCTAATTATACAAGTTTTGTTAAGAGTCAGGTTAACTAATCCATGAAATGATGAAAAAAATGAATTTTTGTATAAGAAATGTCGTAGATATTATTTTCTCAAGTAGGGTGGTCTCTACGTTGCTTCGGGAAGATATTGAATAGTCCAACCATCATCTCAAACCACTATAATATTTACCCTATTTAGAAGAATAAAATTTGCACCACTCCAAATGACGAAATTCATTTTTTTTCTCAATGCCCTATCCAAGAAAATCTACCATATTAGTGGCATGTGACTTGATTAGCTTCATTAAATAATATGATTGGTAAAATCAAAACATCGACGATCAAATTAGAATCCTCCATAATTAAATGGTCCCAGATATAGTTTGCCCAAAAATATAAGAGTAATTAATGAAGTTAATTATTTAAACTAACAAATAATATTATTAAAATAAAGATCAAATTATGAAGAAAAAAAATAAAAACATGGGGACTAAATCCCAAATACCGAGTGTAACAGAGGAATCAAAACTTCACTCTCAACCATAATACTTTAACAAAGGCATGAGAGTACACCAACAAAAGAATATGCATCCGAGGAAAGAGAGGATTTATGAGGATAAATAAATAGAGCAAAAAGACAAAACCTGATGGTTGTATAGGTAACGGCGTAGCTCCTGCCGATGCTGCGATGGCAAAATTTTGTCCAAAGCTCCGGTTACAAACAACCCAATCACCTACCGTATAATCCACCAAGTTCATATACTTATTAATAATAATAATAATAATAATATACTTTTACATTCAAGAATGGAGTTGAGATTGAACATCAGAATGAACCAATCAGCTTTACTTTTAGCGGTTAAAAGGAATTGTTGTTTTTTTCTAGAGATTCTTGATTCGAATAGATGTGTCTATAGGGTGTATGTTGTCGAATATTAATAAGGATTCTGAATATATATTATTTTTTAATCATTCCAATAATAATAATAATAATATACTTTTACATTCAAGAATGGAGTTGAGATTGAACATCAGAATGAACCAATCAGCTTTACTTTTAGCGGTTAAAAGGAATTGTTGTTTTTTTCTAGAGATTCTTGATTCGAATAGATGTGTCTATAGGGTGTATGTTGTCGAATATTAATAAGGATTCTGAATATATATTATTTTTTAATCATTCCAGACTATTAAAAAATGGGTAAAGTGTACAAATAGTCACCCGATTATAGAGTATTACTTTATTAAGTCTCATAACTATTAAATGTTACAAAATGGTCACCCGACTATTCATTTTGTTCCAAACTCGTTCTTTTTCGTTAAAAATTAATAGCGATTTGAGATGCACGCTAATCTGCTGACTGTGATATAATAGTCGTTTGAGATTATGAGATCAGATTATATCATATATCGCTCAACAAGTTAATGTCCAACTCAAATTGTTATCATTTTTTAACGAAAAATGGACGAGTTTGGAACATAATGAGTAGTCGGTGATCATTTTATAACTTTTAATAGTCGCGGACTTAAAAAAGCAATGTCTTATAGTCGAAAAATCATTTTATAACTTTGAATGAATCAATAAAATAATATCTTATAGTCGGGAGACTTTTTATGTACTTTACTCTAAAAAATTGAATATAGTGATCACACTTCAAAGGGGTCCTTATCTCCCTTCAAAGTTTTTGTTTTAAATATTATTAATTAAACTAAGTTTTGTCCCTTTAATTTTTAAGTTTAAATTCTTATTAGGTACTTAATCTTTTATAACTAGTTAAGTCTTCTTGATGTTCAATTCTTTTATGACTAGTTAATTCTGAGTCTGTCCTTGTTGACATCTATATGATTTGAACCCTCTTATTATATCATAATAATTTGGTAGGCTTTGGAGGGGACCATTTTGTAAGTTTATGAAAATGATGTGATGTTAATGTTATTGGTTAAACTTCATTCTCCATGAAGTAATATTTAAAGCGCAAAGCCGGGGCTCTTTCTGCATATAAGTTAACGAGATGATTGCAATATCGCCTTTAATCTATAAATTAAACAAATTAATTAATAATATGAAAATGGGACCACTTGGATAATGTTATGTCATATGTTATCATGAAGGAATAACTACTTATTTTTATATTTGTAAAGAGAATAAAATGGGACAATAAAAATAAAAAAATGGATAAGAAGTTGTCGGGAAAAATTATGGATGAAGTACATCATAGATCATTTTGAACCATATTTAAATGACTGTTTTCATCACTAAACTTTTAGAAGTTATAAAATGGTCATTAAATTCCGTTAAATTGCTATAAAATGATCATTAAATTTAGGTTAAATTATGCATTTAGTACCTAAACTATCGACTTTGGTTCATTTTCAAAATTATATCTAGCGTTCAATTTTTGTTTCATTTTAGTACCCCTGCCGTTAAAAGCTTAATACGTTTTGTAACTAAACAATCAGTTTTGATTCGTTTTAGTACCTAAACGTCCAAAAAAATTCAAAACTTAACGTTAAGTTTTTAATGGGTAGTAAAATGAAACATTGGGTGTGATTTTAAAAAAAATGAAAGTATAGGTACTAAAACATATCAAAAATTGATAGTTTATGTACTAAACACATAATTTACCCTTAAATTCGTCAAACTTTTATAATTATTATAATATTATAGTGACCATTTTATAACATTTGAAGATTCAATAATTAAAATAATCATTTAAACATAATTTAATCACATCTTATATGCTTTAACAAAAAAAATATTACAATAGCTTACATGTTTTTAGTAGAGCAAAAATTGGAGAAGTGGGATAATAAGAGATTGAGTTTTAATCTTTTAGGAATCAAATTACTAGTTTAACCTTATAAATAAATTGAATTTATTCAATGATCTAGTTTTTAGGGAATTCTAAATTTAGATGGTATTATTATGTTGAGAGACATCAAATTCTTACTAATATTCGATGATCTAATTTTTAGTTAATTTTTTTATATAACGACTCAATATTTGATTTATTAATCGATTATTTCATATTTAAATTTTAAGAAACTCGTTATCATAACAACCCTTCCACCTTGCATTTTTTTAAAAAAAATAGAGGCATTAGAAATTATCAAATTATTGTAGAAGGAGTCAAAACAGTCGAAAACACATAGAAGAATGATGTAATAAAGAATTAGACCAGAAAAGAAAGGGTAGATTACGCTTTTACTATATAAACTATTGGTTTTACTCTGTTTTAGTATCTAAACTTTCAATTTTTTAAAATCATACCTAACGTTTAGTTTTTGTTTCATTTTAGTACCCGCCCGTCTTTAAAAACTTAATGTGTTTAGTACTTAAACTATCAATTTTGGTCCGTTTTAGTATCTAAATTTCAAAAAAAAAATATCAGAACTTAACATTAAGTTTTTAAATGGGAATTAAAATGAAACAAAAACTAAATCATTAGATATGATTTTGAATTTTTTTTTTTGAAAATTTAGGTACTAAAACGGGTAAAAACTGGTAGTTTAGGTACTAAACATGTAATTTAATTATGAAAAATAGGAAGTTAGCATGTATGTACCAATCCCGGTAGAAGGAACAAAGGGCCTCCATAATCAGCAGGCCAGAATCCATCTTCAGTTTGCAAAGTTGAAAAGAATCTTAGAGCCTTTCTTAATGTGACCTTCACAGATTCCTCAGTCCCAGAAGCTTTGACCTTAGCAGCAGCAGCAGGCGGCTTCATTTCATCACCTGCTGATGAATTCTCCCTTGCAAACTATACCAGAAACAACTACATAAATTAAAGATGAAGAAGAAGAAAATTATTTAAAATAGTATTCAGTGTACGTACCTGAAATCTCATTAGGAGATCAGAGCTTTGTTTGGTTCGAAATCGATTTTCGGTGAAGTGGCTCCGAGCCAGTTCGATCCGAGCTCGGTCTTGCAGTGTACCGAGCTCAGGGTCGAACTCCCAGTACTGTCTGCCGATGTTGCTGTTCGTGCTTTTGAGTCCATGCTCGTTCCCTTGAGAGACCTTAAGCTTCCACATTGTTTTCTCTTTGCGTAAACACTTAGCAGGTAACGGTTGAATGAAAGAAAGAAGAGGAGAGTGATCAGCAAACTTAAATACTAACTAATTCGGCATAGGGGTGATATTAATAGGAATTGATTCGCTCGTGGACCACCCCGATAATACTACTATGGGTAAATTATGCATTTAGTACCTAAATTATCAGTTTTTATCCGTTCTAATACTTACAATTTTTTCAAAGTAGTATATGTTCTAAATATTTTCAACCATTTGACACTGACTGCTCAACCACCCTGCTGCAGTCACCTGTGCTCAAACCCGTGACCTCAGGGACGGAGCCACCTTATGGATGAGAGGGGCAGCTGCCCCCTAGCATTGACGGGCTAACTACATTTTAGGCCATTGAACATTTTAAAACTATTACAATTAAGTTCTTACCCCCCTAATTTCTTGGTATAATTATTTTTTTGGGATACTATCAGCTTTAAAATTAATATAATTAAGTCTTGACTTAAAATTTATATGGTTTAATTATTTTTTAAGACATTTAAATTTTAAAATTAGTAGAATTAAACCCTCAATCTCTTAATTTTTTATGATTTAATTACTTTTTAATATCCTATTTATTTTAAAATTAAACAACTTATCTCAAGATTTTAAATTACGGTTACGGTAATCTTTTTAGTTGTGTTGCGTTTATCACGATTATGACAATAATGGATGCTATTAAGGTATCACAATTGCACAATAACAAAAATTTCAGATGATATCTTAAACGCTATATAATGGTCGCTATTTTGAAAGGGAACCACTATTTAAATTCTTGTTTGCCCCCCTCATAATTTAATCATTGCTCCGTCCTTGTGTGACCTCTACGAATAACGATTCCTTTAGCCTATGAGATAAGTTGGTTCGTACTATTGTTACAATATTTTTAGATGTTACGGGTTTAAATAGAATTAAGAACCTAATGTTTTTCTTAAATGATGATCATACAAATACGTTAGAGAATGTAAAGGAATTCAATCAACGAATGTTTAACGTTATAGGTGTGCATGAGGTATGCATGAACAAGTTACGTTATTCTTTGAGTCTAGTTCTGAATTTCACAAGAAGTTTTTTTAATAAACGTTAAAATTTAATTCGTACTCCAAGAAAACTAAGAAATCATTTTAATTAAATAATACTGTTAAATCTTATTAATAATTTGTTAACTAAATATGAATAGCTCAACGTTTTATAAATAAATGAGTAAAACTATTGTACTTTTATTATTTTATTGGGTTACCGATTTCTGAATCTAGTCAAGATCAGAAATAATTTACTATTTGTTCTTGGCTTAATTGACTCAATAGGCGAAACGGGTAAAAAACTTGGCCCATTAGGTTAATCTCTAAAATTAATTTGGAATCCACGACATTCGTTACATGATTTAGAATTCGTCACATGGGCATAACGATTTTTAATACAATATATATTTTTATTGAAATTTTTCATCCCAAAATTAATTTGGGATCCACGACATTCGTTACATTGACTTAAAACTCGTCACATGGGCAAAACGAGTTCTAATAAAATATATATTTTTATTGAAATTTGTCATCCCGACATGATAATATTAATAAAAAAATTATATTTTTTAAACTCGTCACATTGATGCAAGGAGTTTAAATAAAGAAAATATTATTTGGACAAACTCATCATGTTGACATAATGAGTTTGTCTTTCACTATAATATTTATAGTAGATCTCAAATTAAAAACCGAGTTGACTTAAGGAGCTAATTTTTTTTTTATTCGCTTGACTTGACTAATTTTGTCTTGATTCTTTTTACTTTTTAACTGTTATTATTGTATATAATTTATATTTATCAAACAAACAAATTATATCTAATATTTAATTTTTTTTATAATCAAACATATGCATATAATTGTAATTAAGTAATAGAGTACGTACGTATCAATTAAATTTTGCAATTTTTTTATTTAATTGAGAGTACTTAAAGGAATATAGAAATACTATTTTGTATTAGAGCTCAATTATTAAGAAAAAGGAAACAAAACTTGATATTTGCATGGATAGCATCGGATCTCTACTAGGTGCTCACAGGCCAAATTTTCTATTAAAGCTCCCCTAGAAAACAACCCAATCACCTACCGAATAAACAGCCTAATGTTATTTTTTAGTTGACGTTTATTTAATTATCTTATTGACGTAGCGTTATTTTGGACCATTAGGTCGATTTCGTTATATTATTATACTGTCACAAGCATTAAAGATAGATCGTAATTGAATTATATTATGATCAATTTGTCAACGTGTTAGATTATATTATTTGTTTGTTTCCATCTCCTTTTGGAGTTGTTTGATTGAATTTTAAATCATTTCCTTGTTCAGTCCCATCTTACTTTCTAGTGGCTATTGTACGTCATTTGATGATTTTAGGGAAAATAATTGATTAATGCGATTAGTATACTCTTGGGAAAGTATTTAAAATATAATTTTTAAAGTTTTTTTTTAATATTCTATCCATAGTATACCTATTTCCCGATAATTAGTTTGAAGGAAAATGAAATTAAATTCAAATTTTCATATCGGTGGTAAAAATACAAAAACAAAAATTAGAAAGACACAAAGGTTTGAAAGAAATAATACTGTTGATTAAAAATAAGCAGGTAATGGAATACAAGTCACAACAAAGCATCCCTCCATCGGAGAGACCGACCGGCGAACCACCAGTTGCAGTCTTCCATAAAATCTCATATTCATTCCACACAAAGAGAGAGAGCAAGTGCAAATTTTAAGTTTCAATCCATGTTGTTCCTTCTACAGGTTCAAACCTTTGTTTTATTCTTCAGCAAAGGAAGGAGGATCATAAAGATCAACCTCTTTGGGAGGTTCACTCTTGCTTCTTCCAATTGTTGGTTTGCTTCCCTCTGCCGCACCCACTTCTCTGTGACTTTCGCTTCCTCCCGGATTTCGGCTCCGAGGGGATTTACCCGGAGCTTCATATAGGGTTATGCCCCCGCCCCCGCTATGGATCATTGCCTCTTCATCGCTCACCTTTGTCTGAAACGTCTCTAGTAATTCAACCACTTGGCTCATGAGAGGCCTCCCTTTGGGGTTTTGGCTAAGGCATTGGTGTGCCAAATTGGCTACCTTAATTGCAGTTTTAGCTGAGTACTGGCCTTCCATTCTAGGGTCTAAGATCCTCATAAGTTTCTTATTATGGACTAATAGGGGACGAGCCCATTCAACCAGGTTATGTTCTCGGCTAGGTCTGCTCTTGTCCATTGCTCTTCTTCCAAGGAGCATCTCGAGTAACACTACTCCAAATCCGTAAACGTCACTTCTTGCCGTTAAATGGCCTGGTCATATCAATACTGCAACTTGGTAAGCCTTTATCATTTATAGCATCGGCAGAACTAAACATTATGAATCTATGAGTAGAGCTTATGAACGGATATAACAAAAGAAGAGCATCGCAGAACTGTTCTATAACACGTTCTGTCAGGCAATTGAAGCAATTTGTCTTCAGAATACTAAATATGATTCATGCATAATAAATACTTTTCTCAAGTCATAAAGCCAACAAACAATTCTAATACACAGAATTTTTCTGTAAAAATAAAATTGAAATAGTTCCAAAATTACTGTGGAATTTTGACATTTGATTTCACATATTGTATTACGCATTTTTGGAATATCACGACGCATGCCACCAAAACACCAGGAACTTGTTCCACTGAAACAATACTTCCAACTTCCGCTGAACTGAACAAAATGTTAATAACCGCAAATAAGAGAACGAAAATGATTCCATCCAATGCCAGGGCAGCTTTTAAACTCCAATAGCAGGATAACAAGACATATACCAAGCATATTAAAAATAATTAAAGACCAATCTAAAAAAATGTTTAACTGTCTTTTTTAACACCACTAAGAGAAGCCTATTAATAATTTATTAAGAATACCCTATCATTATGACTTAAAAATGTTCCTAAATTTTGGCAAAGATGGAGATTTCCAGTTCCATTGTAACAGAATAATTAATTACTAACCAGTCATCACATATTCAGGAGCAGCATATCCATATGTGCCCATTACTCGTGTTGACACATGGGTCTTGTCTCCCATTGGTCCCTCCTTCGCAAGTCCAAAGTCTGAGAGCTTTGCATTGAAGTCCTACAGGTTACATGCATATTTAGAAATAAAAACTAAAACTTCCTAAACAGAGAACATGGAAAGTTGAACTTAAGTTTCAATTGAACTCTAGGTATGGATAATCCTTGTCATATGGCTTTTGACTTTTAGGAGCTAGAATAAAACTAAAGTTCAGATCGTAGAAATTTCTTTAGAAAGGGTATGGAACTGAGAAAGATCATATACAAGTTTATCAGTCTTCCCATTTTTAAAGATCCCATAAAATAATATACACTTGATTAATTGTTCAGCCAACTGATGAAAAACAAAGAAATTATGACTAACCACACCCAGCAAGATGTTTGACGTCTTGAAGTCACGGTATATGATGGGTCTTTCCGCATCATGAAGAAAAGCAAGCCCTTTTGCTGCATCTAAAGCAATCTTCATTCTTTTTGACCAAGTCAAGCTACAACCAACTCCTACCAACCATGAATAAACAGGGTAAATAAAAAATGCTTTTGCTTTTTCTATAGTGGAGAACCGGTACCTCTTTCCTTGATATGCATGCTCAATGCAGATGCTTTTAGAGGGTATATTTATAGCTCTTTATATCCTAAACATAAACTTCAAATTACTATTTTTCCCTAATACTTACTGCGAAAAAGATGTTTTTCGAGGCTGCCACTTGCCATGTATTCATAGACGAGCAGCCGATGATCATCTTCGCAGCAATATCCAATAAGCTTCACAAGATTTGGATGACTGAGTTGTCCTAGATAGTTGACTTCAGCCTGCAAAACAAAGATTTCAGGCACAAACAGAAGCAAGTATATTCTTTGTTGAAAGGAAGGAAGGCACACAATGATCTAACT